ACGTGAAGCAAAGCAGGTATCAATTTGGATCACGCTTGGCAAGAATCTCGAGCCACACCTGAGGAGACCATTCGAGTCCCACTGGCCCGATTAGATTCGCCAAAACTGTCGTAAAACTCCGCGTCGTCCATCCCCTCGTAAAATATACAGTAACAACAGACAGACAGACAGACAGACAGACAGACAGACAGACAGACAGACAGACAGACAGACAGACAGACAGACAGACAGACAGACAGACAGACAGACAGACAGACAGACAGACAGACAGACAGACAGACAGACAGACAGACAGACAGACAGACAGACAGACAGACAGACAGACAGACAGACAGACAGACAGACAGACAGACAGACAGACAGACAGACAGACAGACAGACAGACAGACAGACAGACAGACAGACAGACAGACAGACAGACAGACAGACAGACAGACAGACAGACAGACAGACAGACAGACAGACAGACTTACAAAAACGGACATGCACTGACACAAAAACAAGCGAGGGCTTACGTGTCTTATTTAACCCTTTGACGACAATGCGGATTTGCACGTAGCTTGCTCGTGGGACCACGCCTGTTTTTGGCGCGCCCAACTCTCGCTCAAAATTAGACAAAATTGTCCTTTAAAGCAATTTTTCTGTAGAATATTTCGACTCTAATCGTACACCAGTTATAACTGCAGGCCTTCATATTGTAAATTTTTTCAAGAAAATTTCTAAATTTGGACAGGGAAGTCGCGTTTTTAAGGGAAGGAGGCAAAATCCTCTGAAATTTTAAGTGTCCAAGAGAATTTCCGGTACACTTCAAACCCCTTCCTGTATCTGAGGGCTATGAGAAGACGAAGAAGTCCTGATTAGTAATTAATCTTCGGCCTAATAATTTAAAACCCCAATTAATATGGTGGCGAGCTAAATGGCACATTCTAAAATTCTATATAAATTAGCTCTCAAACATTTCTGTAAGTCGTGCTAGCCATAGATATTATGGAACTTGCTTATAATTATTGGGGTGTTACAAATGTTTTAAATGCACAAAGAAGGAAATTTTAAGGTGGCACCCACCATTGGGTGCCATTGTCCCACGCGACGAACATAGTGGCACCCACCGGTGGGTGCCATTGTCGTCAAAGGGTTAATAGTGTACTCCTCTCGGTGATTTCACATGAGTCCTTTCAGGATCCTTTTGACTTCTTGAATTGAGATTCTTTCTCCAAGGAGCAGTAGTTGAAGCGCGATTCTTCGAATTTCGGATTCTTTAACTTGTGTCGTGATAAAACACTAAGTAACTAAGAATTGCTAAGCGGACACCTCTAAATCACGAAGATTTTGTGTGGGGAATCAATTGTTATTGGAAATACTCTGGCCTGGTATCGATTCGATCCTTGATGTTTGTCCTCCGACGATGATCCTACTGCATCAATCGGGCCCGATCTCTTCCCCCAGCGGGCCAATACGACCCCCCCCCCCTGTGACATGTCGAGGATTCCTCAACGCACGCTTGACCCTGCTGGTGGAATATCCTTTGATGCGAATGCCCGCACCCTTACAGGGTCCGCCTGTTTTTCTACTAGATGAGTTTCCTCTTCTTCGAGCTTCTTCCTTACGTAAAACCCTCCTTCAACATGAGCGGAACCAAAAAGGTTCAGTCAGAGATGGTTCCAGAAGTTCTAGTCTTCAGAGAAAGCTCAATTTCAGAATGGGACAGCTGATGCGCCTTGATGACAACGGCTCTTGGCAGCAGCAGTGTTTCAGGTAGTATTTTCCAGTGCTGAATTGTTCACGAGATTTTCGACTAGTTACCGTTTCCAAGATTCAAAAACTCTGCTACACATTCTCATGACGAGAAGAAGAAACATATACGACTGTGGTGGAAGATTGACGAGGACAGCAGGACCGTACAGTTTGTGTAAGTTTTTTCCATAGCTTGTCTACGGATAACATATTTCACGTCCCCATTGTTGGTTGAACCTTGTTCCGGGTGGCAAGCGAACGTCTTTCCAAAATATTTCGCCAATAGCTCATTAGACAACATTTTCAGGGGGATTATTGGGTCAGAATCGCAGTGAGAGTGTCACTCATGCGATCCTGGAGAAACGACTTCCATTCCTTCTTCGTCCCGGGCTTGTCAAATAGCACCTATTGGCTTGATTTAAAGGACGAATTCACGATGAAAAAGCAACCCATTTCAAATTAACCTAGGGATGGTGAGTGGTACACGAAAGAAGGAAGAACCATGAGAAACGGCCCAGAACCCGAGAAATGGGACCCCTTCCTTGCCCGTTGATTTGAGCATTGATGCGACTCTCATCGCTGTGCCCTCTTCAACACTACGCTCTCTCAGCTATCTAATCACTCGCCACGTATTGAACTACGGCGAGTGATCAGATGATCGGTGGGCGGAGATCGCCGGACCCGCCAGCTTTGAGGCATGATAGGTCGCCGAGGTCAAATTTTTCCATGCGAATTGCGCGTCAGTTCGCACCCTCAGGAGGTCCGTGGGTCCCTCAACTAGGTCAGTTTCCCTTTCTTCGACCTTCATTCTAATCGTGAATTCCTCCTTTAAAGCAACAACCCCGGAAAATTGGTGGAGGTGACACCGCCGTTGGTAATGAATGCATCGGATGTTCAGTTTACTGAGAATGAAAAAAAGGGAAGGAAATAGTCGGTAGAGCCTCAAAAAATGCTCCGCTCTTCTCCTTCACGGTGAGGAAAGGGTGTGCCATGACGAGTTTTCTTAACTTGTTTGCCCCGTGACACTAGTAACTCTCGCGTAATTGAGTTAATTGCCATGCAGTGATCCATGTTGTGTGTCATGGGGTGTGCGCGAGGCATCTCGTCCATAAGCTCGCTTTCTTCTTATTAATTCATTTTGTAAGACCCTAGCGCCTTTGAAGCGCGGTGTTTAGACGCAGACAACGGCACTTCTGTGGTATTCACGGGCAATTCTTTCCTATCAACGGACGAATCTTGAGGTTGCTGCTAACCCATTACTTTGCTCCAGCTGTCGCAAAATGTACCTTTGAAGACGTTAGGGAACCTATGAAATTCCCCTAGCCGATCTCGACTGTCTTTGGGACCACAATACCCACCGTCACAATTGATCTAAGTTGTAGGGAAGTTGAAGGCAGGTGATGCGACAAATTTTTGCAGTTGGAAGTGAATGTAAAGATGGGAAGTTAACAGATGGAAAAAATACAAGGGAGAATGTCTAAAACCTATAATGTCAGACTTCTTTTCACCTGTTGCTTTCCGCCCTCGGCGAGTTGAACGACAGATAATATCACCATCATTGACATGCCGTTCACCATTGTAATCGCATTGTGCGGCCCTTCCACATTCGCTTGCCACTATCTGCAACCCTTCACCACCAACAATTCATAGGCCGTGTTTTCTAACTCGAGGCGAAGTCCGTCACGACGGCGGCCCTTATAACATCATCGTCACTTCCAAAATTAAGAGCCCTGGGGAGGAGGCGGGTCGGACCACGGCTGGTAATATTTGCCAAGGTTAGGGCGATCTAGGTTGCGTAGGGCAAGCCTTTCGGCGCGAGCGAGCCTCCTCCCGCTTCCTTGTAGCTTGCCGTCCTTTTGCACAAGGCGTATCTTTCCCTTCCCCAGCCTGTTTATCGTAGCATCGTACTTCGAAGCAACAACCCCAGATGAGGTTGCGTCGAGCAATCTATTTAGTGGCAGTAATAAATCTGTTCTGGCTTGCGAGTATCACAGTTGTGCCGTTGTCGCGACTCGAGTGTGTGACAATGGCGCTAGGGCCTTACAAAGTGAGCTAATGACGGCTAATGTGAGCTAATGGACGAGATACCTCGCGCACACCCACACGCAACGTGGATTACGAAGTAGCGGCTGCTTCAAATACGCGCGTATTAGTGGAGCCATGGAGCAAACGAAGTTCCAGCAACTCGCCCACATGCCACCCTTTTTTCGAGAGGAAGCAGATGGAGCCTTTGTTTTAGGGTTTCCTTGACGGTTTAGTTTGCTTCCTTTTTCATTTCCACTCAACTCAGCATCCACAATTTCATTGCCCCTATTTTCCCACCAATTTGATTTGGAGTTGTTGCTTTAATGTTTTAAAGAAGAGTAGAAGCAAAATCAGGCTATCAAATTATAGCGGCTCACACAAATCCAGAACTATGACCTGATTCAATTTCAGATTGTCTTTTATCTGAGAAGAATGTTCTAATTTTCAGAGCTACCGTAGTTAGACATCAGACGATGTTCTGGGTGAAATCCGTGCTATCGCCACCGATTCCGCCGTGTCGAGTGTCGAAGAACGGTATTGAGAACTACCAGAAACCGCTGCCGACTCCGCCACCACCAGTGAAGCAATTCAAAATGGACACCAACAGAGTATTCGGTGGCGACCGTATTCCAGCCCTACCAGCAGCGACCGCGGCTCCACCTCCACCTCCACCGCCAGCACCAGTACCGGTACCAGTGGTTCGTAGCGGTAGCGCTTCTACGACTTCACGTGGTCGTAACACGTCTTTTAATCGCAGCCGTACAAACACACGCAATCGAATTCCATTTAATCGTCGTCCCTTTTGGAAATAACAGAATGCGAGGGCGTCTGCCAGTACGAAGACCTCGTTAGGATGTTGTTTTTTTAATGGAACATTTGCGTAATATCAATACTATTCCTGTAGAAAGTTCTGAAAACCAGAACTTGATTTTTCAAATAGAGGGGGATGGGCGTGCCTAGCAGGTTCTGAGCGCCGCAGGTTGCGTCGCCCGTGGCATTTTTTTTCGGTGGTTTTCCCATATTGCCGTTTATATACAAGCTGGAGCAGATATTCTACTTCAAAATACTTCAAAAGCTTTTCGGAGCCGACAACTACATTTGCAGGCGCTCGCGTCAAAATTTGCCATTCTGGCATCGCCCACAGTTGGAATATTAAGTGCTAAGATAACAAAACACTAACGACTTGTGCGTTAGCTTTAGTGATATTGTAGAGGGTACCTGCGAAGTTGCTTACCTAAGGATGAGAAAAGAAATCGAAAAACGATCAGGTAGAAGTGTGGCAATGGCTTGGCAAAACGGGCATGCTCTTGGCACCTTACTATTCAGTTTTGCTTTTTACCTTTCACAGGTGATACCGGGCGAATCAGTCAGGTTCACCGTGTAACAGCAGTAAATGCTCACCCAACTGCTTTCTTCGGTTATTTTATCATTCCTACATTTTTGTTTGAATTTCACTCACTAACATCAGTGAGTTCACACTGAGTTAAGGTTGCAAGGAGCTGCCTAACCTCAAGCCACCATTCAAGCACTGGTGTGTCCTCACTGAACTTTAACCCTAATGCGTGCACTGACTGTGAGGTGTGCTCGTCGAGACTCCTGAAATAGCGATTTATGCCTATTCTAACGTAACGTCAATTATTGATTTGTCACTGCTATGAATCACGCCTAATTCACTTCAGTTTTGCTGTGTGTACTTGTCACCCACCGTAATAAACTATTGCCGTTGCTTGCTCACATTTATTGGTTATCGATTTATTGATTCTACCTGGGTTTTTTTCTTGTTTAATTTCAGTTCATGCCTTTGTTACGCAGGAATGAAGCATGAAAAGCACGGACAACAGAGCATTTTTTGACAAAGTCAAATAAACATTACATAGTTGCATGAGTCGACTGTAACGCGAGCTTCACTGCATCCGTAGCTCTATTAGGTTGCGTCTATACTCGACAGCGGGCAGCTGCCTGCTCTTGTGAAGCATGAAGCGCTTGCTAACTGCTCTTGCAAATGCAAGAGCCAATGTGGTAGTTACCGCCAGGAAGCGCCTCGTTACCTGGTCATACCAGGTTTACGAAATTTTCCACCTACCATTATTCCGTGCTGAATCGCTGATCAGATCGCTGAGATTGCCTTTACAAGAAATCTTTGGAAAGCACTTTCATATACATTCATTACCGAAGGGGAAGTATGTAATTCACCCATTGGGGTGACCTGGAAATTTTAACGTGAGATTAGATCCCTTGGTTCACATTTTTTGGTTATCAATGTAAGCGGGCGAGTGGAGTATTACCATGTTGGATATAAGTATGCGTATGATGAAGGGGAGACCTGTTGTCTAGCGAACGAAAATGGAAGCTGCTGAAGGATGCAGTAATGAAGAGAAAAATAAAGGAGAGCCTCATGAAACGGATGTTCCCCTCTCTTCGTTGATTTCTGCCTCAGGCAAATCGTATCGTAGGTGCTGAAGCCATCTACGTGAACGTTGGCAATCTGTCTATGTGCTGAGATGGTCGAGAAGCCCGACAGATGAAGGGCACAGCACGCTGACATGGGCAGCACCCTATCGAAGAGCATAAAGGGAATGGCAAAACTTCGCAGCGTTTCTCCCTCCTTTTTCGTCGACGAGAATGCACCCACGTATCGGTCCTTCAGAAAACCTACCTCCGACTGAAGCAGGCGCACTACCCCATCTTAAACTACAGTTCCTGGGGCCACTGAATCTGAATAAAAAATCAACAGGCTCATTAATGCGCAACGCTTGGGGAACGCTAGCATGACAGGGATTCCCGAACACTGCGCAACGAAGGATAAAGATATTTCCCACTTAGAAGATTTGGACCGTCTCAAACGGGTAACCTTACCATGTTGAATGTTTGTCGGGTTGGGAATTCTCCCTTTCAACCCTCCTTCTATGGTCCTTTTTTCTAGGAATCTCGCCGTATAGACCCAAACCTTTACACTCACCTAATAATCACACAATCATGGAGCCAATCCGACACATAATCCAATGCCATAACCTCGGTGTTTGATACTGGTATAATATGGTTTCACGACACACCACAAGTCCAGTAGTCACACTTACCAAAGCACAATTCTCCCTCACTGTGCACTTCCATACTCAAAAAGCTTTTTCAAGTAACGATATGAATTACAAAGTGCAAGAATTCTTATTTGCATTTTCGATAAGGAGGACAATTATACAATTGGAAGATTGGGGAAGCTTTTTTCTGTTATTGAAATGATCAAAGGATCGATGTTGTAGTGTGCGCAGCACATATCGAGAGATGGAGTTGCCGTTTGATTTTGGGTGGCTTTTACTGGTGAGAGAGTACAGGCGCATACCCAGCACAGTGTGTGGAAGAAAACATTACAGAACATTGTCCATTCACTTTCAATCTCACTTCAAAGGCAAGCGCAAGACTATTTTCTTCGATAGAAGTATGCTGCGAGTGAAATTTACAAAGTTCAGTGATGCCATTCCGGGATTCAACGCGCTTGGGGCGCTGAGCCAGTTACGAACTTGCAACCATGGACTCCTCGCGCACCCCCCCCCCACCCGCAGCGGTTTTTATGAGACAGCGACAACTGCAATAAGATGTAAGATCGAACGATAGCTGTGACCCGGACTATGTCTAGAAAATCGCGCGAACACAGATCACACCATATATAGAGGTAGAGGTACTGCTAGAGGAGCCATTGATTCGGGACTAATTGCGTGGTCATTTTTTCTTGTCCAATTCATTTCAGATTCACTATCGTAATGCTCTTGCACAGCCATTTTATCCGAGGACTTTCTTCTTAACATCTATTCCCATTTAAATCTAAACTAAGAGTTCTAACTGAATTGCTCTTGGAGAGACCGATTTTTCCCCGCAGATGAATTTCCCTAGTCATGGTCACGCAGAAGTTGAACGAGCAGCGCTTACCTTACGCTCTATCCAGAAATTGGGGGCAGAAGGTACCGGGTAAATTCGTCATTGTTGTAAATGGAAGTAGGATTTTTAAGGGGTGACCAGTTAGGAACAATTCGACGCAAAGGACCTAGAAGTTGCAGAACGGTAACCTGTTTTGCGCTTCATTTCCACATGTCTCAATGACGGCCGATTCAAAAATGCGAACGCTCCGCACCTCTCCTTGGAGAGAAGGATAGAGTTAGGGAGTAATGGCAAGCTAGCCCATTTGATCTTTCTGTCCATACCTCGCAAACGATACCTTTGATGGCCACGGTTACTCTCTTTCAAGAAGCAGTTGAGGCTGGGAAGCGCATCAACCGTAGCGCGGTTTCTCTAGTCTACGTGCTTTTCTAGCTCCCCATTGTCGGTCTCTTCCATGTTATTTCATGCTTTCATACATGCTTTATATTTATAATAGAGAATTTGAGGAGATGTGAGAAACTTCACGCTACTTGGTTTGGAGAAGATGGTGATGGTTCGATGTTCACTATGAAACTGAGCATGCAAGTTTTATCTGTAGAAAACTACAGACGAAAATTTAAATAAATTGACGTGACCAAGGGAGTTTGTCTCGACTAGGTAATAAAATCGAAAGGGAAACACAACTCTGGTAAGAGGATTTGCTCCGTGAAGTAGTTACGATATTTCTCAGTGGCAATGCGGAAGTAGAAATGAACTGCAAAGCATTGTTCTCCTCCAGACAAGGTCATTTGCAGAGACCGGAGATCTGTATCTTGAAAGTATTAGCGTAAATGCCTCAGCTTTTTTGAGAAAGTGTTCGCTCAGCAAAAGATGCGCTGCGAGCGATAGCGCCGCACCTTCGCTTTTCCCGCTTCAAGACCATCTACTTGCTTGGCTACATTAACCTCTCTCCCGGGGACGAAGGAAAGCTGAGGTATTTTCTGAAATGATACCAGTCTCGATTCGAAGTAAAGTTGAAGCGAGCACGACGACTATACACGGTGCTATTTGCACTTTCATTCAGATTGATCCCCTCCCAAATCATGCAAGCCTTACATTCCACAGGAGATCCGTATATGTCATCTTACAAGATTTTTCAAGCATGTGGTAAAAGCCTTGCCATGATTATGGACTGCCATCGCCAGACCACTGTTCAAAAAAGTAAGGGATCAAATCCTTTAAGATACCGAAATCGTATAGTAACTCCGAAGGAGGGATCTTATCCTTGTGTACAGAATTCGCTTTTATGCGATGTTATCCTGGTAGTTTTCTTTGAATTGAGTGTATTATATAGCTGGAGGATTCCTGTAGGCCTCGTACCACACCTTAGCAAGCAACGCTTACAAACGACAGTCGACAGAGCTGATTCATATCTAGGTGGTTCATTCAAAAACTGGAGCCGCTTTTGTGAGGAGAGCGTTTGCTCATGCATTCATGGAACATGGGAAATAAGGTTAAATTAGTCAAGACTCCGGAGATGCCAAAAACGGTCCATGATGCCTCTATAACTGGCCTCCTCGACGGGAAAGTTTACTCAATATGCAGGGGTCAATGTTGCAGAGAACACAGACCAGGGACGATAGTAAAGTGCCCTAAACTAGCAATCAAATGTGGTGATTTTCCCCATTGACGAGGAACAAGCAACGTGGAAACATGGACATGACCCTTCTTGAAACCGCCAGCCTCGCCACACTACCTGCAAAACTTGCGCCACTCTCGGACTTGAACCCTGGATGGTAGGACTCATAGCCGGGTTTTTGCCACTGCACCAGGGATCACTCACTCTACTGGAAGAGATGTTGATGACAGGTAAGCAATGGATGTTGTTTGCAAATCTTAGACTGCAAGCGGTGCTGATCCAGCAACCTTGCCAGCGGCAGCGTGGAACGTCCCATTGAGCCAATGGAAGTTTGCCATAGGGAAATGGTGAGCATCCACCACTTTGCCTGCAAAAGTTGCGTCACACATGGGTTTGAACCTTTGGTGCACCGTCCCATGTGCGACATCGCTACCACTGCACTAAGGAGCCCTTCTTATCGACAGTGAAAGGTTGTAGCGAAAAAGGGAATAGCCTGCGAAGGTTGCAAACCTTTAGACATCTCGAAAATTGATCCCGTGATCGCTGCTCCACCACCAACGTGGACAGCAGGCGCTACACCATTCACGAATCAATGCAAGGCGCTTCCCTTTCCAACACCCTGCTTTGACCATTGCAGCCTGGCAGTTTGGATGTTGCACCTCTAGAAAGTCCTCCGGAGGACTTTTTA